TTATGGGGAAATTTGATTCGGGATGCGATCAAAAATCGGTTGGCGACCAAATTCGGAGGGGTCAGAACGGATTAACTGTATTTACATCTTATGGGAAAATTTGATTCGGTTCACGACCAATTCGGTTCGCGACCAGAGTCATGGAATGAATTAAGTTCGTGAACCGAGGTACCACTGTACTTAACACTAGAGAAAATCAGAAATTGGAGGGTTTACCTTTATTAAGTATTCTTGTTAGGAAGGATAATGTTAATTTTAAAATAAAATAGATTATTTGATATCTCTGAATTTGGGACATGAACATGTATGTTTTGAGTGTGTATACATATTTTTGATGTTAAATTCTCTATGTCCCATTTTTTGGTAGTCCTTGTTAATTTTATATGCAAGTCTATCTTTAAGAGTGAAAGTCACATAAGGAAACAGCAGTACAGACTCCTTTTTGGAGTGGTATGTGTTTGATGCTGCTTTCTGTTTCCTACCATGGAGGCTCTCCAGCTTATTTTCAGTAAGTTTCTGGCTTATTTAGTTTGCTATTCCCCTTCTTGCCCAATAGCTTGTAAAATATTTTAAGAGGGAACACATTTCAGAACTGATTGGTTTTTGGCTAACATCCCTGTATAACTTTCAGCATTTTGAATTACAATTTTGCTTTCTGATTGATGGCAGAAAGTGAGGCACTTTTTAAACTCAAAAAAGAAGAGCATCACCCTCCAACAGAAATAGAAGCATCCTGTGATTCAAAACCCGCCCATAAGAGTGGGGAGCAGGAACCAGAGCCTGAACCGGAGGAGGAGACAGATGGAAACAACATGTCAGCCATTATTTATGAGATTCCAAAGGAGCCTGAAAAGTGAGTGAGCAGCAGAAGGAGATTGTGGCCATCTAGATCTCTATGTTAGGGAAGCAACTGGGTGCTGCTTCTTGGAACATAAGCATGGAAAATGCTTATTATGTGTTCCATAGAGTATTGTGAATACAGCTTGTCCAATTTTTGAAGATTCTGGTTGCTTTTCCATAGTTGCTACATGATTTACCATTGCTTAGACGATTAATATTCTACACTGATACCCCTAAACAGACTTTGCTGACCCAGTTGAACCTCTAAAAGGGACAAGGGGAAATATAGAAAATTATAACCCATTCAGCTTAATGTATATGGCAGGCAGATTGTACTAATAGTAATTTACGCAAAAATAAGTAGGCCCATAGAGGAGCAAGTGTTGCTGAAGGAGAATCAGCATGGGTTCCATAAAGCTATATCTTTCCTCAGCAACCTGTCAGAGTCTCTTGAAGAAACTTAGCAGTCATAGAATAAGAGGACCTCTCCTTTTATGGATTGCTAATTGGTTAAAAAATAGAAAGTAAAGGGGATAAACAGACAATTTCCCAGTAGAGGAAAATGAAAAAATTAACTCCCTGAAGATCTGTGTGGGGACTAGTACAATTTAACTTGTTTATAAATAGTCTTGACTTACAGATAAGCACTGAACTGGCCAAATTTGCAGATTATATTAAACTATTCAGGATAGTAAAAACCAGAATTGATTATGAAGAGCTCCATAAGAATCTTTCCAGCACTAGGATCAGGAGTTATCCAATGAAACTGATGGAGAAAAGATTTAGAACACCCAAAAGTATTTTTTCATGCAACACCTCATCATTCTTTGGAATTTATCATCACAAGACATGGCCACAAACTTTTTTTTTAAGAGGATTAGATAAATTTATGAAGATTGGGTCTATCAAGGAGTATTAGTCTTTCAGATTTAATGTTACCACCAAATTGGGAACATTAAGCATGTTGGGAACATTAGCATCCCAGCGGCACCTGGTCACTGTAAAAGAAAATACTGCACTAAGTTGGATCTTAGCCTGGTCCAGCATGGCTTTTGTGATAATCTAAACCAGAGAAATGTAGATTAATTTAATTTTTGTTAGATCAAGCTTCGGGAACTGTTAGGTAGTTAAGGTTACCAGGAGAAGCAAATTAGTTGTGGAACTTAGTGCCTCATTTCTGGAAGTCTGTCCTTGACTTACAGAAATTAGTGTCTCAAATCTTAATTTTTTCAGACTTCTCTTCAGCCCTGAAATTGGTGTTCTTAAGATTCTGTACAATCTGTTTATTGTGATGCTATGGTGAACCCCTTTTTAGGCCTTTTGGTTCTGTAACTTTTTGTAGAGCACAATAGGATAGTAGAATGGTTTTGTGACATAGAAGTAGGTTTAGGGACAATGTATTGCAGTTTTCCTTTGAGTAACATTTCTCCTTTTAGGAGGCGGCGGAGCAAAAGAGGTCGTGTCATAGATGCAGATGGCATGTTGGAGATGTTCCACTGTCCTTATGAAGGATGCACCCAAGTCTATGTAGCACTTAGTAGCTTCCAGGTATAGTTTCTGTGACCTGATATTGATTAAATTTACAGTTGTAGAATCAAAGAGCTTCTGACCTTAATTTGATTGCTAAATTGTATTCTATACTGGAAAGTCAGGCAAAATGGCAGAAGTAAAAGAGCTACTTTTTTGGTAGTGGGAACGATTATCCTTGATATGTTCAAGCAGAAGCTAGACAGCCTTCGGTTAGAGATGCTTTAATTTGGATTCCTGCATGGAACATGGGGTTAGACTCCAGAGCCTAAATGGCCTGATTATGCCCTATGATAACTTTCAATGCAACCAAGGGTGCATAATTAACCATTTTCTCCAAGTTTGACTTTGACTTGCAAAGTCAACGACACTGAAGGATGGGTGGTGATTTACTCTAATTTAGTGTGTGTTTGTGTGTTTGTGAAGAAGTGGTAAAAACTTTCCAGTTTGTATTCTATAGGAACAACGTTCATCCCATTTCTTTCTGTCCTCAGAATCATGTTAATCTCGTTCATCGGAAAGGAAAGACGAAGGTGTGCTCGCACCCAGGTTGTGGCAAAAGGTTTTACCTGTCCAATCATCTCCGAAGACACATGATAATTCATTCAGGTATATTGTCATCTCTACATTTTCCTAGCTATGATATGTCTTCACTTTAAAGCAGTGACGGCAAACCTATGACACATGGGTCAAAGGTGACATACCACAACGTTTTGGGTAACACGCCAGTGTTCACCAACACCTGACAACAACTATTCTCTGTTTGAGTTACCAAAGAAACTGAGTTTGTTTTACTCGTATTTCATTTCTGTAATTATTTCACATTCCTTTATATAATATGTAGCACCACACATGATTGGACTGTATTTTTTTAAATAAATGAATATGTAAAGAATTGTTTCTCTTTTGTTCATGGGCAATGATATGCCAGCAGAGTCAGGTTAGGCATTTTCCAAATTTTTGACATGCCAAGCCCAAAAGGTTCACCATTACTGCTTTAGCGATATTTTGGTACATGGTGGCTTTGATGGAATTGTTTACCTTGCACATCAACACATACTACAGCTTTGAAGTTGAGCGGTCCAAACCAGGATTTAATTTTCCTGCAGTGGAGGAGGAAAGTTGCTCCTCCCACTTATTCTAGTAGGCAGGAAGATTTGCAGCAATCCTTAGAGTAGGATTTCTCCCTTCCAATTATGTTCCTAACACAGGTTTACAGTAAATCACTGAGAACTCCGCTGCTTTCTCAGTCTTAACTAAAGATTGGGTTCTCGTTTTTCTTCAGGCTGGGGGAACATATTGAAAATGCTATAATTACCCATTTTGGAAGATCTCTCATTTTTCAACTTCTCATTGAAAAGTCTGGGCATATGGGTAGAAGTAGGCCTTTGTTGGCCAAGATGGTACATTTTCTGTTGCAGTGGACATAGCGCCTGGACCTAATTTTCATTTTTTCATGTTGCAGGTTTTCTATCTCTTGTAATTTTATCTTGGTTGTGTTTTCATTGATCAGAGACCCATTAGATTTTCCCAAAGCTGATTGTAGATGCTTTTCATTTTTCCCACAAGAGAAATTATTAGGTACTCCTAAGTCTACTAAAAAGGGATCCTTTTGTTAGCTGACCCTGGAATGGTAATGTTTGATAGTGTTTGTTTATTAAATTTGCTGTTGTAATCTGATAAGAGTATATGTGCTATTAAAATGTATATTGTTTTTGTAGTAGTGTTTTATAGTGTTTTTAACAATCCTCCAGATCATCCTTCTTCTGTGTTAATACTTGAAGATTGTCTGGGGATATGTTCAGTTCTCTGATATACTAAATGCTCTAAAGGAAGGAATTGTACAAAATTCATGTATGCAAGATCTTGGAGGATATTTTTTAGAAAGCTTAGTTTTTCAGTAAATCTATGGAAGCTGTCAATACTGCAAATCATTTATCTGGGTTGAAAGATTCCCAAGCCATTCTTTCTCTGACTGAACTTTAGAATATAACAGTACAGCTATCTGCCCAGTCTAGCAACTTTTTTAGCAGATGCTAAAGTGCTAAAACTTTCACAACTGACATGTGTCTTTTACTTAACTGTTATGTGGCCATTTTGCAGTCCTTATATTTTTTTTTTAAATCTCAGTCTGATAGTATTTTACCGGTTCCTCTCTTGCTTCTACCATTGTCCAGTCCTAAGCCTAGACCATTTTGAATGGGGCATGGAATTGGTTGGACATATGCAGAGCAATAAAGATTTAATCTTCTATAACTACTAATTGATTTATTTTCAGAAAATCACTTTACATGTAGTAGAAGTTTTCCATAGCCATATTATCAAGGTTGATCCAGCCTTCTGTTTCCCTCTTATGAAACATTATTGAATGCTGCTCTGGAGGGAGTCACAGTCCATTCTATAAACAGCACAGCTACCCAGGCACCTAGAACTTCTTTTTGTTCCAGAGGCTCTTCTGAGCAGTGCATGTAAGGCCGCTACATGGATTTCTGCATCTTCCTTTGTTAAAGGAAGTTTCTAAAAGTCTTGCAGAATTATATTTTCCATCCATATAGGAACTGCTTCTTCCATTGTAGGAAAATGAAGTACTGGACTTGAAGGTTCTCTTTCTGCAGTGGATGGAGAAGATAATAGTTTTGCCGTTGGGAAAGATTATTTTCCTATTGTGTTTTTTATTCTGTCTGATTTTTCTGTTTTTTTTTTTTCTGTTTTTTTTTCTGTTTTTTTTTTTAGCTATTGCTTACAATCCCATAACTGGAAGGGAAAAGGTGCTCTCTATCACTCTAGGGATTATTATTATAATCCCTTTTACTTCTACTGGAGCCTACTGGAGCAAGTGGGAGGAGCAAGACAGTTTTCAGGATTCCCTCAATTCACTGGAGAAAAGGAACCTTCATTGTTCTGTTCTTTTTGCATTTCTGTTGATTCCTAGAAGTTGTGTAGAACTATACAACTAAACTTATTCTTACTAGTTTTCTTTAAATATTGAATTCCAGTTGACCAATGTGATTGGGAACTCCCTTTTTCTATTATTTTTCTTTAAGTTTAAAGCGACACTATATTCTTTACTTCATGTGTGGTGTCTCAAGGTTTAATTACATCAGACCAATGGCAGGGCTGCTTATTCAAGCAAGTTGCTTTGGAAGGTGTCCCTAAATCAGATCCATTTTCTTTGGGACAGAGACCCCTATGTTAGCCATTGATGTGTTTTGATGATCTTTCCTCTATCTTCCCAGGAGTCCGTGAATTTACCTGTGAAACTTGTGGTAAATCCTTCAAGCGGAAGAACCACCTGGAAGTCCATCGCCGGACACACACAGGAGAGACGCCTCTCCAGTGAGTGACCCGGGGCATGACTAGAAAGTCTGGGCTGATCCATTCTCTAGCATCAGAGCATTAGGGTGAGGTCTTTGGAGCCTGCTTACTGTTGCCTTCTTTGTGCAAGTTGGTAAGGGCTCCGTCTGGCTGATCTTGTTCTTCTGCTAATAATATCTTAAGACATGGTTGTAAAAGCTAGAAGGTGGAATATCTATTAAATATGGTTTTTAAACAGTAGCTTTTAATTGATTAGGCTTACCAGACCCCATTTGGTTCATTCTCTGATTGGAAAGGAACACTTATGGGGATGAGCGTCTAAACATTTTTTAAAATGGGAACCCTGAATGAGCCACTTAGTAATTGTTGCAGTAGCTTAATACATTTGATATATTTGAGGCCAGATAATAGTACTAAGAAAAGCTATTTTCAGTACTTGACAGGAAGAGTATGTAGATCGTTTCCAGCAGGCATGTGCATTAGCTAAAACCAAACGACCACAGAGTGAAAGCAGTGACCTGGCCTGACAGACTGTTATTTAAATACAGTCTATTGCTCTGTGAAGATATGTGAGTTTGACTCAGAGAAGGGGAGGGGAGCTGTTACAGAAAAGATACCTAAGTCCTGGGAAAATAGAAAGTGTGCAAAGGAAGTTCAGAAAAACTCTACCTTGATTGTGTTTAGGTATAAATTGAAATAGGGAGGGGCTTTGACAGGCTTTCAGAGTTCTTTTACAGTACCCTAACCGCACTAGGGTGCATTCCAAGACACTTAGCAACTCCTGTTTCCTGCCTTTGCCTACTTTGAAGGGCTGACTTGCTCAGAATGATAGTATTCCCATCTTGGTTGGGAGCTGCTTTTAGGTGGAATATAGCATCTGGTCGAAATACATACTATACTTGATTATGGGTAGTACATCCTGAATAGACAGCAACAGCTGGTGGTAGTGATTGTGGCTGTGAGTGCTTTGCTGGTCTCCAGTCTGGAGTACAGAGAGTGATAACTCTTTCTCTCCACAGGTGTGAGATTTGTGGCTATCAATGCCGACAGAGGTCTTCTCTCAACTGGCATATGAAGAAGCATACCTCAGAAGTCCAGTACAACTTTACTTGCGAGTACTGTGGCAAGCGTTTTGAGAAGCTGGACAGTGTCAAGTTCCACAAACTAAAGAGCCACCCAGACCATAAGGCTGCCTGATCCTGATCGTGAATCACTTTAATTATTATTCCTCCAAATAACCTAAACCAGCTGAGGGCATGTCTTGCACAGCCACAGCTGAAGACATGGTGTGTGCTTCCCACAGCACAAGGATCTGTCCCTCTTGTTAGGAAGATACGGGGTAGCTTTTTAAGACCAGACGGTGACTGACATAAAAAGCTCGTGCGAATGTCAGTGTGCTCAGGGTGTTCGGACAGCATAAAGTCAAATCATCCTATAACTGGAGATTATGGTGCTAAGCTGTCCTGTTCCTCCAAGGGGGAAAGAACAGTGGAAACAATAGCCAAGAATAATCTTATCCAACTGAAGTATACTTTGCTATCTGCTGAGCAGCACCTTCTACATTTTAGCCACCTGATACTTGACCTGAAGGAGGAGTGCAGCTGTGAAAGGTCCAGTTCCATATCACGTAACTATGGAGAGACTGCTTCCAATATAAAACTCCAGTCCTAGTTCATGTGACTGTTTTATATCTATTGAAAACAGTGTAAGAAAATTATTGGCTCATACGCATTAATTCAGTTTCCTTGAAATGGTTGAACATTAGTCATATATTGGCCTAAACATGGTTCTTCTGCCAGGAACTATTTTCCCCTTAACCTTCAGGGCTATTGCATTGGAAGACAATCCAGAGTTGACATTTTTACCCATTTCCTTGAAATATTGGTGTCCTGTAAAGTACAGATTCTGATACCGGGTATACTCACACTCCAGCAATAAGTTCCTTTATTATTCTGGTTATCTGTGCCCATCCTCTATGGTTTGCCATATTCATAGTCTTGTTTGCAAATAAGAAATTGCTAAAGTTTAATCCCATAGGTGTATGTTTTTTTAATTATACTGAATATTAAGAGACATGGCTTTTGTCTTTAAAAAGTGCCATTTAATCCTTAGGACTAAGTTAAAAGATACAAAATTGTGTGAAAATGGAGATTTTTTTTCTATAGTTGAAACTTGACATGGTTCTGTGAGAGCGTTCATAAGTGAGTGGGTGTCATTCCTCCCCCCCCCAACCCCCAAAATAACCCTTTTTGAGGGACCTGTCAGAAGGCAAAAGAGCTTAGTTGGGTCGGGCTTCTGTGTGGGGTTTGCCATTCTGGGATGGAGGGACAGGAAGAGCTCCTTTCTGTTAGTTTAGGGTAGTTGTACTTTTGGAGGTTCCTTTGTGTGGCTGTTCTTGTCATATTCTTCAAAGATGTACAAGCCATTGGTGAACGGAATTTAAAACCTGCCAAACTCTTGCTTCCTGTTTCTTGGAGTTGCAGGTGCTAAAATGGACAGACCCTCCAAATGTTGTTGCACTCCAGCTCCCCATCAGTCCTGGTAGCCATCATTGTCAGTGGTGAAGGATCAAGGCAATCTGGAGACAAAATATAACTTATAATCAGCCAGGGAGGCTGACTGATTGCAATTCGCTGGTTCTCTCCTTCTGCATCTCTTAACCCAGGCAAGGATCACTCTGAAATCCAGATGGATTCAGATCTGAGTAGAAGGCAAAAGGCGGGTCTGGAGGGATTCTTAAAGGAGCACAGTGGCGTGTTCACAGGCAAATCAGAGACTAAGCAGTGATGAACTTTCGGGCTGAATATACACCACAAAGCAGCTCACTGTACCTCTGAAGATGCCAGCCATAACTGCTGGCTAAACATCAGGACAACAGAAAACTAGACTTCGGCCATTCAGCCCAAAAGCTCATTACTGCTTGTTGACATCAGCCATGAAAGCCTACACCAGTAAACCAGTAGAACACAGGATCACCATTGGAGATGCAAGACCCATTAGGAAAAAGCATGATCATATCCTCAAACAGGCGAGAAGCACTCTGGAGAAGGAGGTTCAACACAGCAGAACCTGGTGATGCTGAACCCTCTCAATGAGTGGGATGTTATCTTGGTGCCAAAAGCTAAGGGGGAGGTTAGATTTTGTGGACCTAAGTCAGTTAAATCATGTCATAAATATTTATAGTTATCCTATGTACACAGTTGATGATTTGCTAAGTAAGTTAAACAGGTGTAGGTACTTATCCACCTTTGATTTAATGCAAATCCCTTTGGAGGCTATTTCTAGAGGGAAGACAGCCTTTATTCTATTTTGTGAAAATGCCACTTAGTCTACATGATGCCTCTGCAACCTTCCAGAGACTGAGGGAACGGGTTCTCCCAGAATGAAGAAAGTTCTGTGAAGTGTATCTGGATGATACTGTAATTTATAGTACTCCATGCAGTGCACTCTCCAGGTTAGCTTGCCCATGAACCTAGTAAAATGCCATCTGGGTTACACAGAACTAAGATTCCTGGGATATGTTTTAGGCTACCAGGAGGACAAACTGGAGGAGGAGAAAAGTCCCACCCCCCAAGAAAGAGGGTAGGTTGTTTGGAGGATACTATGGGCATTTTATGTCCTATATGGTGTCTGGCAAAATGAGCTGAATTAGATTTGCTGGACTCAGGTCTTCAGTGAACTGAAGACAGCTTTATGCACTCAATCTGTATTGAAGGGACCAAATTTTGATCCCCCCCTTTATAATACATGTGTGCACTTCAGATGCAGGGCTGGAGGCAGCCCTTATGCTACTACATGAGGGTGAGGAGCACATGGTATTGTACCCCTTTTTAAAAACTTAAAATTTTTAAAGAGGGAATATAGTGCCATGGGGCGGGGGGGACAGCAGGTTATGCACTAAAGTGGGCTTTGCAGAGCTTCAGAATCTACGTATGGGGATGTAATTTCACAGTAGTCAAGCACTACCAACCAGTAGCGTGCTGATAGCACTCTTAGCCACCATAACACCAAACTCAGCCCTATCCTGACAAGTGACTTGAGCTTCATCTTACTCCATTTTCTAATCTAAAGGAGGAGTGGAAGTGTTTCCATATATTTTTAGCTGTTCTGTAGTAAGCACTACAAACTTTTCTCTCTAAAGAAAAGAAAAGGGAGAGAGATTAATGGTAGGTTCTTGATAAGGAAGGCCTTAAGAGTTACTGTACGAATTGCGAGGCCAATGGCCACCAGGAAAGAATCGGTGCTTTCTTTCTGTAAGCTACTGTTGAGTAATTCTAATGTGCAGGGCAAGCCCCGTGTCAGATTCAGCTTCCTGAGTATCCCATATTTTGTCTATTGTGCAGCTGAACAATAGTTTATCTCTTGCCAGTAAAAGCAATCCTGTAGTCAATGCCTATAGCCCCAGTTAAACAGTTTCATCCTACAAGCTTCATCTTCCTTGTTTTCTAGCCTCTTCTGGAGTAGTTTTAGTTAGGAAGGGGGTTAATAATCCATATCATTTCTGTACTCTTTATTTTAAAAGCACCTTGGTGCCTCTTGCCACTCCTGCAAATAGTGCTAAATAAATAATTCACTCCCTGACAAGGCCACATTAATAATGCAGGCTTGGGGAACTGTTCTTAGCACCAAGGACATCTCAAAAGCTCCTCTCCTTTGGCTGCAACCTGGATTTTCTCCCTTTGCAACTGCAAGCATTTCATGGCTCCTGCCAGTTCGCATTCAGAGCATCTTCCTCTTTCCATGTGGATGAGAGGTTGCCGTGCATCCGTGCCTGGGAGAAAGACTGGGCCCGCTGACCAAGCACAGCTGACAAAAGCTAATAAAAAGCCAAACATTCTACCATGAAGGCGTGTATCTTGTGAGCTTCATGGGAGCAGCTCAGTGATGCTTGCACTGATGAGATTTTGTTGGCTTGAGTTACTGTGCAGAAACAGAACCACCCAGATTCATTATTGCCAAAAAGAGGGCACGTCAATCCTGTATTCTCTTGAAACATAGAAGGCCACGTTCTGTAATACTGAAGTCTGTGATCATAAAAGGAAGAGCTTAGAATCCACTGATGAGCATGAGATCACTTTGCAGAAATTTGTACTGTAACTACATTTTTGCTAAAGAGCTTTTTAACCTACTCTTCTAAAGCTATGGACATCCTATGAGAACTCAGGCAGTCACTTTTTTGACAGACTTTAAATAGAAGAATTAGTAAGCATTTTTCCTACCTATGTTTCAGAGCTTACCTTTATTCATTTGTTCGTTCAGCTTTATAAGGCTGCCCAGCTCACACAACTGCTACTGTTAGTTAACCCGGGCTTTAGGCTGCATGTTTTAGGAATTACCAGCAGATGGCGCTAGTGGCATATTTTGGTTTAAAGAAGCACTTTGATGAAAGGTGCCTCCATTGAGCTTCCACAGCCGAATACCAGTGCTGCTATGTGACATTTTGTGTTGAGTTCACAGTGGGGATGAATTGAGATAACAAATCAAGTTGTGAAGTAAATAACAGTTTTCAGTTTCTTTTAGATGTCACACACAGTCCCTTGGTGTGTTTTTGTTTCTTCTAGCAATTACCTACCTATGCACCTACAATAGGCCTTCATATGGGATGTATTAGGGGACCAAGAGTAATTCCAGAAGTCTCCATTTATAGAAGAGGGAATAAATTAGGTAAAAGAGATCTCTTGCCATGAGTTGGTTTAACAGATGCCCTCTCTGATCTGTTAAATATAATAATCCAGGCCTGTGCCTTAAATTTTCAAAAGAAGGAGTCACTGGTGTAGTCAGGTTTTCAGTGGCATTGGAGCAATTTAGCCAGGAGCATCTGGTACTAAATGCAAGCTATACAGGTCAAGAGAAAGTCCCACCATGTAAACCAGTACATTCACGTTGCTGCCTGATAGGAAGGCTCTCCCAAGCAAATAGGGTAACACCTCCCACTGGCAACTATAGGACAGCAAAGGTGATGGTGAAGATGAAGGTGAAGGAACCTGGTGCTGAGAAGTTTAGAGCCTTCTGCCTTGTGTTATAGGGGGAACAACTACAGTGGGGAGAGCTCTGTAGACTGAAGAACATAATGGTCACTTCATAGCTATTTCCTCCTCTGCTAATGAGCATAAGCCATCATGGGCAATTTTTAGTGTGTAATGAATGATGCCCAAATAGTTACAGAGCAGACTCCTAGGTGGTTATACTTGGTCATTTATATTCCACGGTCCCAAATGGCCAGCTAGTTCAGAAAAGTCACTCATCCCAAGGAAGAACTTGAGTGTTTTTTTCTTGGGTTACTTTTTAGAGATTAGCAAAGGGGTCTGAACCATGCGCAAAATGCTTATTTGTCAAAGCACTTTTTTTAAAATTTAGAAATAAAAATCGGGGAGACATTGAGAGTTCTAAAATAATAGAAGGTATGGTAAAAACAGAAAACAGTTGTAAATCGCTTATAAAATTAATTGACAGTAAATTCAGGGCTTTACACAACACATAATGAATGAAATTCATTGCCATAAAATGTGGCTGCAATTAGGAAAGAAGGTATTAGATTACTCCATGGAAGATATAAAGGCAAATTGTTTCTATATACCTCGGCAAATAGTGGAAGAGGATTGTTGTTTCTGTGCCGTTTGTATGAATTCCAAAGCATCTTGCAAGCCATGAATGGTCTCCATCGGATCCATCAACTAGAAGTCCCTGGTCTTCTACTGGACTGTTGGCTTTAGTTCCCCCTCTCCACTGTCTTATATCCAAATTACAATATAAGTTAATTCTACTTAGTGTGGGGGGTTTCGTAAAGAAGAAGGTAAATGTTGGGGGAATGAGGAGCTGGTTGTTGCTTGCAAAGTGCCATGTCTGTCCATTCATAGATGGGGCATACATTCCAGCCAGCCTGGGTGAGGAACACCTCCTTTGTTTCTTTTATGAAGGCTGGAGATTTGCAGCCTCCCCTTCCTTTGCTGGTTTCCCTCTTTGGCTAATTAAGACAGATTGGGCCATTAGTGAATACCAGACGCTGCCTCTTCTGGGAGGAAATTGGATCAGAGGATGAGAAAATGGGAGATGATTTCCACCTCCCAGCGGATGTTTCCGCTCCCCATCTTCTGATCTGCTGGAAGCTTTCAAGAGACTAAGATGGGAAATAGACCAGGCCGGAAGGTGGAAGCATCTGCTCTTCTGGCTTGTGATGATCTCAACATTAATTCTCCACATTACAAAACTTGTTGCGGGGGCGGGGGGGTGTTTGGCCACAAAAATAAGTTGGAGGGTCCTGTTGCTCAATTGGGTTGGTCCCATAGTTCCCTTTGCATTGTGGCTGTACTCCAATGAATGGAGCTCTCTGGAAATTTTGATAAATTTGTTTGTTTGTTTGTTTATTATTTATATGGCCGGAACAAAAATACAAAAACAAAATAATACCAGCTAAAAGTAAAAGACAATCAGTGATCAAGGGCATTTCTTAGATTATATCATATGGAAATTCAATGGAAGAGGTACGCCTCTTAAGTCCAGTGAGATGGCATTGTGTCAAGGAAGAGACTAAAAGCATGCCTACCCTATCAGAGCATGTGGGATGGGCAGATACTATTGGAGAAAGGTGATTCTGCAAATAACTCAGTCTTGTGCCATGTAGGGATGTATAGGTGATAACCAGCACCTTGAATTGCATCTGGAAGCCTATAAAAAGCCAGTACAGCTTGTGGTGATGCTGACCATGTAGTGATTCTATCTACCAAGTGTTGAGAGTAGCCCTCACAATTGCTATGCAGGTACTCCCCAGGCCCTGCTGACCCAGGAAGGATTGGGCCACTCTGAGCAGGGCAGCTAGCCAATATTTGGAGGATGCAATAAAAGCAGAGGAATAAGCACATTTTGCTGCTCTTGTGCTACAAGGTAATACCTAGTGAAGGCTCTTGCCTGTATGCAGTGTCTTCTTCCAGTGGTGATCTAAGCATCTCTTCAGCTGTTCATCCTCCAGAGGTCCTCTGTAAAATGCAACTTTTGTGCCAGAGTCTGTGCACAGAGATTTTGCACACGTGCAATCACAACTGATAGACAGGATCTTGTGGACTTTGCAGTAGGCTGTAGAGATAGAGTATGCCTGTCTTCTTTGTCTTGTGGCAGTCCACACCAGAAACTGGGATTGGCACTGTATATGTTCTACTTTAAAGACAAAGGGAGAAGAAAGCACCTCCTTTGTTGAGGCACTCTCCCCATCTGTCTGCTGTCAGAATATGCCACACAAAATCAATGAGCCACAGTCTTGCCTGTAGGATGACAGGCAAGCTCATGGATGTTGGTTTCCCATGCTTCTGTTGGGTGGTGAGGTTCC